AATTCCGACGACGATTCGACGGAGACCAATGGGGACTTACAAACCACAGTCAACTTTTTTTCCTCTTTTTTTTTTTTTTTAGATTTAGAAAAATTGAAAAAAAAAACTAAAAAAATCCACAATATTTAATATTATTTTTAGACATATTATTTAATAATTAAATGAGGAAATTCGAGTTTTTTTAATAATTTTTATCTCAACTACTTTTGTCTTTAATTTATTAATTTTTTTAGAATACAATTTTTTTCCAACTGACTTTCCTATGAAAATATAAATTATTTAATATCTAAATATAACCAAACAAATGGTTTTTTTTTTTTAATTTTAATCATAAAATCCAAAAATATAATTTTTGCTTAGTTGGTTATAAAAAGAAAGTGATCTATCATAAATGAAAAAAATAATACATTTCTTGACATAAAAAAATGACGTAATTAACGAATTATGATGTAATTAAACAGAAGAACTATATTTTACATTATTTATACCTAAATTAAAACGGTCAAAGGAATTAAAATAAGATATAAAGTTTTCTTTTTTTATCTATAATTTTGGACTTAGTTTTCACTTTTTGTGGCTAAAGAAAGGAGGGGAAAAGGAAAAGGTGAGAAAAAGGATGGTGGGAAAAAGCAAACCGTAACAAATTCCTTTTTTTTTTTTTAATAAATAATGCCAAGTATTTTTTAACCAACACTAAAGCTATACGTTCAAATTCCCGTACCTAATAGAACGTAAAAGTTGTAACATTCACCTAGAATACAAGTTCGGACTTGTTTGAGATAACGCACAAAAAGAGTCGTTTCAATCATATCTTTCAACAATCAACCACGCTTAGAACAAAAATTAATTATAATCCATGGATAAATAAAAAAAAATTTAAAAATGAATTTTTGTGACAACCTGACAACCAACCCAAAAACAGAGGGTTAGGTTGGGTTGAGTTGTAAAATTTTCGAGTTGGATTGAGTTATTAATCCAACTGACCTGAGCTTTTGGGTTGGTCCAAAAACTTTCCTCAACTCAATCCAACCCAGCCTGTGTACACCCTTATTTGAGATAACTCAGAAAAAATCGTTTCAAACGAAATCTTTAGACAAACCATCAAATGATGGCCGGATGAACTGATATCAACATCTTCCCATAACAAAGACCTAATTCGGTCACAATACTTACAAAAAAAAATGGCAGAGATAAGATCGAAACTATTACACAGCTTGAACGAGAGTAGAAGATTTTCTTGTGGAGTAAACTCCTTGAAGAACTTTGTCCCAACAAAAAGTACCTTATAGAAATCGAACAATCTATGAACAAATGATAATCTCCTCTTGTTTGCATTAGGATGCAAGCAAGGAGTGAAAATAGAACTGATGTAATCCACCTTTTGGATCAGCGTTTTCACTGACACACTGTTCGGTGTCTAAAACTGATATCAACACCTTTCCATGATAAAGACCGGATTCACTCACAATGCTGACAAAAAAAAAAAATGGTAGAGATAAGATCGAAACTATTACAGCTGCTTGAATGAGAGTAGAAGGTTTCCTTGTGAAGTAAACTCCTTGGAGAACTTTGTCCCAACAAAAGGTACTTTATAGGAATCAAACAATCTACGAACAAATGATAATCTCCTCTTGTTTGCATTAGGATGCAAGCAAGAAGTAAAAATAGAACGCCGATGTAATTCACCTTTTGGACTAACGTCCTCACTGGCACACTGTCCGGTGTCTAGTTCTAATACCATTTGTAATAATCCAAGCCCATGCGGGTAGATATTGTCAGCTTTAGCCCATTAAATATCAACGTTAGCCTCACAATTTTAAAACACATTGATTAGGGAGAGGTTTCCACACCCTTATAAGGAATGCTTCGTTCCCCTTTCCAATCGACGTGGGATCTCACCAAAAAAGTTATAAGATTTCTTCCAAATTAGTTTTCATCTCAAAAAAAAAAAAAAAAAAATGGCTTCACCCTTTCATTTCAGATTGTTGAAGCTACCACCAAAGCAATTGACAAAGAATAGATAAAGGCGCTTATGCTGAAGAACAGAGCTCTGTCCTTAGGTAAATGTCAAAACTGTTGATATTGCAGAATAAACTGATACCTAACTAAACCTTTGAATAGAGCTAAATTTTAGATTGCCCAACAAGAAATTTTCCCAGATGAACAAACTATCCACCTAGAGGAGAATGAGAGTTATGAACCCAAGAACCAATATGCCTGCCATTGCATTCCAGATGGTTAAGGATTATAGTATGAACAGAACAATCAAGAAACTTGGCACACAGAATTTACAGTTACTTCAAATTTTATTTTGCTAATTATTCACACATCTTGCTTTTCTAGCCATTATTGTGATAGAAACAGAGAATATGTTACCACAAACAGCAAGGAGATTTCATCTCTCCTGCATATCCAATTCAGAAATGGCAGTCAGCAAGAATCATGATATCCGAAGTAGAAACCAAATGGAACCTTTCAAGTTTCAGCAACTTTATATGAATCTACAGTGATTTCAGTCAGTAACAGCCCAGGAAAAAGTGCCTGCAAAATGATGAGTAAAATCAATAACCATTCAGAAGAACAATGGAATGAAATCGATCCAGAAGAACAATGGAATGAAATCGATTGAAAACTGAAATTCCTCCCTATTCTTACATCCAATTGCTTTTGTACAGTTCTAGGCCTCTTCTTTGGCCTCCTCGGTAGCTTACCGACGAGCACCGCGAAGTCCTCTTCAAGCTCCTCTTTCGACAGCGATACAAATAGCGTACTGCGATTCTTCTCCTTCTCCTTCTCCTTCTTCGTTACAGCTTTGATCGAAGATGAACCGAATTCTGGAGTCCTCTCATCTGGAGGAGCCTTACACGCTGCTCTACGAGTCCGCAAATTCCACGGCCGAGCCGCAGCGGATTCCCCCTCGCCGCCTTCATCAGCAATCGAAAACTTGAGTCTCTTCGATTCCTCCCTAATATCGAGCATGATCTTCTCGCGCATGATTTCAATGGAACTGCTCCCATCGTTGTTCCCTTCACTAGGTTTCATCGGAGAAGAGAATCTGGTGGAGTTCGCGCCTTTAGAATTAATAGGTCTCTCCCGGACTCGGTAGGATTCCGATTGGCGATGAGCAGCGGGGTTGGAGTTAGAAGAAAGCTTCATACACTTGAGGAATCTCTGGGAGCCCCATTTGAGATACGGCAAGGAGAAGTTGTGCAGCGGCTTTGATCGATCAGGCGCCATAGCCATGAGCTTGATCGCAAGAATTCGAAGCTAAAATTCGGCGAAGAACACACAAGGCCTGCAATTCCAGAGCCTTGTCAGTGAAGTTAGGGGGCGAGAATCGGGATTGGGGAGGGGAAGAGGTTGAGCTAATGCGAGGTAGAAGAGTGGGAGGGGAGAATGAAGAGGGGATGGAAATGAGAGTCGCGGGGAAAAGGTGCTTAAAGAATGAAAGGGGGAGAGGAGGCGGGTCGGTTTAGGCTTTTTGGTGTGGCTGAGAGTAAAATGTTGGCGAAGTCACAAGCGGTATGGAACACTTTAAACCTTTAATACCTCTCAACTTTATTGAATTAAAACAACCAAATAAATAAATAAATAAATAAAAAGTGAAAAATTAAATTTAACGGTCGAACTTTTAAACTAATCAAATTAAATATGAAACTTTCTTAACCATTACAATCTTTACTTGAATTTGAATAAAAATATATATATGTGACATAAAATAATATATTTTATTAAATAGAAATTGTTTTTAAGATCAGTTCATTCCTTAATGTTATCATTAAATTAGATAAAAAGATCTTGTGATCTCATGAGTAATCTCGTGAGCATTTAATTTTAACGGTAAGATTAAAAAATAACTTTTAAGACATTATTTAACTCTTTAGATTATTTATGTGAAAGACGACAAACTGAAATAGAATAAAATGTTGGTTGTTTTCAAAATATTCCATTTTTATATTTATGACGTGAGTTAACAATATTTTAATTTGTTTCGACTCGAGTAGACATTTATTAATAGTTTTTTTCATTCTACTAAAAATATTCAAATTTTCATTCTACTAAAAAAAACTTTTGTAATGCTCAAATTTAATCTCAAGCTCAACTCAAGAGAGAAAATTAGTCCTAAGTTATAAACATAACTTTTGCAATACTCAAATTTAATGAAGCTTAACTCGAGAGAGAAAATTAGTCCTAAGTTATAAACATAACTTTTGGAATACTCAAATTTAATGAAGCTCAACTCGAGAGAGAAAATTAGTCCTCCTAAATTATAAACATAATACCCATTGGCCTTCAAAAATGTTAAAATTAGAAATTTAGTATAATTTTTTTTTTTTTTTTAAAAAAAAAAAAAGTTAAAATTCAATCTCGAACTTTTTCTTACGGTTTAATCAAAATTCTCATCATTAGTCCTTTTTATAAGAACTACTTAGAAGAGTTTTATCCAACATAAAAATGAATTCTAGAGACTTTACCTAACCTATATATATTCCTTGCAATTATTAATTAAACCAGTTTTACCAAACTTGCAATCAAATTAACTTTTTAAAAGCCTTTTTGCTTGCATTGTAGACTATTAATTAAACCAACTTCACTAATCCTCTTTAAATCAATTAAACATGGCAAACACACTATCGAGAGAGTTTATTTTAAATAAATTAGGTGGCCAAGATTAGTAATACGCACATGATTTGTTTTCTCATTCCTCCTTCCAGTCTCCCAAAATTTAACCATTTTAATGTAAAACTTAAGACCAAAAAGAAAATAATTATATTAAAAAAAAAAAAAAAAAACCCATCAGGACCTACACAGATTTTGAACCATTTGAGGTGGGACGCTGGTGTGACCTTCGAAACAAGGATTTGGTACAACAAGCTACCCACGACCATACACAATCTATTTATGAAAAAAAGATACCTCGCCTTAGCAATGAGGTATGTATCTTGCCGAGGAGAAGAGCCAGTGGTCGTTATCTGTAAAATATTAGAATTACACGAAAAGGAATATATACACAATAGATGAATGAAATTTAGAATACAAAATGAAAATAAACAGAAAATCACTTCCAAACCAGGAAAAAAGGTGAATGCAAGCAACGAGGGATATGAAATGGGTCAGGAAAGGGTAAGTCGATGGTGTTCTATGAACATTGAATTTCAAAGTAAATTCAATTTTACAGTTCGCAGGATGAATCTTGAAGGCAAATAAAATGGGATCAGGAAGAGGAATCTACACAGACCGATAGACCGATATGAACAACGTGTGAATTAGATGTAATAAAAAAAAAAAAAAAAAAACCAGCTTCCTGGTGGAGAGGGATTGATATAATAATATGTACAAAAGAAAGAAAGCAATAAAAAGCGTGTATATTACTTTTGTCACTGTAAAAGAAATCTCACTGATTGGAAGAGGGGCATTCAGCGGCATATGCGGCATCGTTCTTGATTACCCGGGTGTTGTATGATCCGCAGAACTCGCATTTATGATATAGCCAATGGAACCGCGATGTGCCTTTCCGTTCACAGTCGTTGCACAGTATGTCCTGGATTCCACACCCTCATTAGACTACTTGCTCCTTATTAAGTTAAATCACAAATAATATCGATATGGAAGAAATTACTATAACTATAAGCCTCTTTTTTTAACATCATTTCAAATTCCGAACTTCGCCAAGTCAAATATTTGCTTCGAATTAGATTATTGAAGCCAAGTTAAAGGGTTAAAAATAAACTCCTTTTTTGTGTTGGAGAGGAAGGAAGAATTCGAGATTTTATTTTTTGTGTAATGATGAAGTTACACAATCAAGAACAATAACGCCCTCAAACCAATTCCTAAACCACCAACAGAGAAGGAAGAAATGACAGAATGTACCTGGCAACGTTCCCTGTACTCCTCTGGCAGCTCCTCAGCAGCCAACAAGGCATCAAGCATGCCAAAATAAACCTAAGCACATGTTACAAACAATATGAAGATCTGGTTCAAATTTGCTTTATATAGCCTTCTATGTGTAAATGACAACATTAAAGGACGATGTTAAAAGTCACAATCTCCGGCATCTTCGCAAGATATAGAAACTTGACATGTAAAGAACAAACTGGTCAAACTCCCCAAGGCTAATAAAATGTAATGAAAGAAATTCAGACTAGAGGAAAGCTCATTACAATAAAAATGAAAAATGTCTGCTGGTAGAAATACATATTCTCCTAGCCAACTTTCCTTTTTTTCAACCACAAATGAGGATGGGAGATTTGAACATCTGACCTATCGGTCGACAAGATATTCCTCAACTAAATTCACTCAAATCGTTTCTGATAGCTCATAAGATTTAAGACTCATTGACAGTACTGATTGCAATTCTAACCTTGTGGTGATTGATTTATGGGAATCAAACAGGATGAAAAAAAATACATTAAGCCCAAAAAAAATGACAGAATAAACACAAAAAATCAACAAAAAGAATTGAAAATTCCCTTACCGCCATATCTCCCAAGGACTTGCTGCAAATAGGACAGGTATAATGGCTGCAAGTGTAGGCCTACAAACACCATAATGCATGTAACATCAATATCCTAAACTCATTTTACAGAACACACCAACCAAACAGAGTTCATTTAAATTATCCAGGATCCGTAAGATATAATCCAAACCTGAAAGCAAGCTGAATGCATGTAATGACCACAGGGTAGCGGTCTGACTGTTGCACTGGATGTAAATAAGAAATCACAACAGATGGGACAATTCGTTTCTAAACTTTTCTCCAGGCACTTGTGACTCTCCAGCTTTATCCCAAGGCAACAATTGCAAATCATGCAATGGAAAAAATCAATTCCAAGACCCTTCCCAACACGGCATAAGTTGCAAAATGGGCAATGATACACAGTCCTAGAGAACAATTGTGACCATGAGAATACAAAAAAGATTTAGCTAGATTTCTGTTATTCTAAAAACATTTATTTATCATGACAGTCTTCGATGAAATAGTCAACAAACCAGATGAGTTAAAACATTTCTTGGTACAATCCCATGAAAGAGGATAGCCACAAAAGACATCATTTAAGGTACTCCACAAGGTCACAGGAACAATTTCTCCCATCAGTTAACCCAAAAAAAATTGAACATTAGCTTTCTGAAGATTCGAGGTTAGACAGGAGCTCTAGCTAGTTTTGTGGTTGCTGATATTTTAAGCTTTGCTGGGTGTAGTCATTTTGGTATTAGATTTGAGCTTTGCTATGCAGTCTAGTTTTGTGGCTAGATTTGAGTGTCTTCTTGGGTTCAGTTACATTTCGAGTATTTTGTTACCAAAATTCTGAATCATTTCCAGTTGATAGCAATTTTGATTTGGCCAAGACTCTTCAAGTTGAAAACTGACCCACTCAACTACCTCCTGAAGAAATTAGTCTTTCCTTGATATTTATTCACAAATCTCAGTAACTGGGAATTTTATCCATAGATATTTCAGTCAACTAAGAGTTGCCTGTTGCCAGCCATATATGAAGGCAATCAAGAGAAAGTTGAAAGGATCTACAAAAAACAAAAAGCGCGCACAAGAGGAGCCCAAACCTAGAAAAAGGATCTCTAATCTGAAAGAATAACACCTAAATCATCCTGATAAAAGGCACCACCGTCCACAGGGAGACATTAAACCTAACATTTTTCCGAAGGATGTCCCTACAAGCTACAACTTTCAGCCCTGCTATGAAATATCGTAAGATAGTTTTTAATGCTAAAGTCTATTTATCTCTAATCTGGTCCAACTTCTTCTAGCAATTAAAGTCAACATATGAATATGTGTTGCAATCACCATTTATCACCCTTACTGTTTACAGCATGCAAGTCAAGATATAAATAGGAAAAAAATGATAATACAATCTTGAGAGAATGGAAAATTTCATGAAATATTAACAACCAAAGGAATCATTTGTATCTGATGTTATGTACAAAATTGTTAATAAACATAATTAGCACATTAATCGTTAGATATCTCGCTTGAGAATATCATTTCTTCTGAGGGCTTATCAAGCCACAGATATAATATCATATTTCTTAAAAATTATGAAGTATCAGAATTTGTACCTTTCATCATCAAAAAATTTACAAATATTGCAATAGTATTTCGCCATTGATAATCCATTGCAAGAAGGTGTAGTGCATACTGGCCCAACTGCTTGAATTGTTAGACAGTTCATACACATCATCTCTGATGTTGCTTTCCTAAAATCATGGGACAAAATATCAGAGGGGCAAAACACCACTTGAATTTGATGTAAATCCTGAAATAATACCTGTCCATTGAGTGATCGCTGACATTATCATGACAAAATCGACAAGTAAATAACTTTCCGCAGCAAGCAGCAAGAAGCTTGCAATTTCTAGTGTAATGTTCACACCCAAATATCTTTTTCTCGACACAGCGAAAAGATGGTGTTCGTCCTGCTGCATCTTCACCATTGGAATTGTCTTCTATATTTGCTTGAGGCAATTTCTGCTGTGCAGCAATCCAGCGACTAATTGAAAACGATAGCATGCAATTAATTTTAAATTCAACAGCATACCAACACATTGAAGTAACACGTGCTATGCAATTTGGAGGTAGATCAAAGCTTATGATAAAATATTATATCAAACCATACCTGGTCATAAGATTCTGCACAAGATATGCTTTTCTCCTTGGATCAAGAGTCGAGTCCTGATAAACCTTTCTGATTTCTGATTCAAGTTCATTTTGGTTCATGCGAAAAATATCTTTCCAGCCAGGCTTGAACATTTGATCATTCTGATCCAAGCTCTCAATGAGCCCAGAATCTGGAAGGAGAGAGAGAGATATGTGATTACAATTTTTTTCATACTGAACAATTGAGGAACATCCAACATGAGTGTGAAATCAATAAATATGGAAAAACCTTTCTCAGCAACACAAGCTTCCGATGTTTCACCATTTAAAGTAGACGAAGCAGTCCCTCTCCAACAATCGTTGAGCCATTCGTTGAACATGGTGTTTCTCGTGGCCTGCTTCCACGTATCCATCATGGTATTCTGTTCGTCTTGAGTAAGTGCAGATGTTACCCATGGCAACATTGACTGGAGAACTTCAGCACCTGTTGTCCCAATAATACGACCAACTATTTTGTCTTGCTCCTCGAAGGAAAAGTGTTTCCCAAACAGCGGCCAAAGCTCAAGTTCTTCCCTAAAAATATGCTGATCCAGGGTAACTCTTATAGATTTGCACATTCCTTGAAGCTTTGTAGCAAGCTCGTTGTACATTCTATTACAATCCTTCCCCGCCATATTAACAGAACCTACATCACTTCTAGAATGACTCTCATCTAACTGAACCTCATGCAGACTTTCATGGAGGAGTGAAATCTCAGAGAGAACACATGAAATATCCTCAAATAGTTTTTCCTCCTGCTTATGGTCGAGCGTATATGAGTGACTTACATTGTGCAATGTCTCTTTGGATTCCAGAGCAGGAAATACAATATCATCTTCAGCATTACTATGAGCGCGATATAACCCCCATAGAAGGCGAAATCTTCCAATAAATTGCCGGAGAAATGTTCCATCACAATCACCAAGTTTTCCAGATTCAACATCTAAATATTCCAAGTCTTTGCGTATCGCTTTGTGAAATTTAAAAATAGTATCAATGGGACGTCCTGCAGACCCAACATCAGAAGTGGCATTATCTGTTTCCCATGAAAAAAGGCTGGAATTGAGAGAAGGTGCACAAGAGCTGGGAGATAAGGATCGCATAGACTTGGATGAGAAAATAGAACTTAACCCCAGATTCTTGCTGTTTACTCCTAAAGCTGGAACACGGCAGGACTGATCACTACAACACTGTTGCTGGACATTAACAGTCTCTGAAGCAATACGGCCATCACAAAGTCTGCATGACATAGGAACATTCCGTATGGCTGGCCTCTTAACATGAACATTAGTTTCTTCTGGATCGGATTTTGGACCTTCCCTTGCAATCAATGCAGGGGCACATGAACAAGGCGATTGAACAGTGTCTTCTTCAATATCAGGTAACCTTTGAACTGCACAACAGCCAACTGCTCTTGAAGATATGCACAAACCATTATTGCGGGCCTTGCAAGCCCAACCAGAAAAGAGAGTCACCAAAGCAGTATCTTTAGCTGGAGCTGAATAAGAGAATTATACGCTATCAGAACGACAAAATATTAATATCATCAACAAAAAGATATATAATAGACAGCTGCAGTAAAAGTTTCATAGGTTTGTCTCTTGAAAAGAACAGACAAATTAGAAAAATCAACAAACCTGCCAACTG